CAGTGTTTCAGTCCTTTATTGTATTGACTTATTTAGTCTGCAAACCACACTGTGACTGCTTTCCAGACAGCGGAAGTTGAATCTGAAGGATTTGCACCATGTCTACCAGAAGACACTGAAATTTAGTAAATATAAGAGAGTGGTTTTAATTTGAATTTCAGATAATCAGTATAGTAATAAAGGTTTTGTGTTACATTTAGTAAATATAAGAAAGTCATTTTAATTTGAATTTCAGATAATCAGTGTGCTAGTAAATGTTGTGTGACACCTTTACTGGGCCAGGAATCTCAGTGGTTTGGCCATTGAGCTATGGTTATCCTCCTACGATGTGGTCTGCTATGAGCGGTCAATCCATTGAAGTGAAGCATCCTGAGCAGTATGACCTGCATACAATGGATGGACAGTCAGGCAAGGCTCGCTTGCTCTCTGCTTGGTCTAAATCTTGCATCTGGCTCATCGTCTGACTTCTGGTTCATTAGACAAGAGCTAGTGGCCTCCTTTCTTACTTGCCAATCCAAGCAGTTGTCCGCAGCCTGACTCTTACCCATCAGGCCTGTAAACCTGCTGTATCCTGCTGTATGACCTGCCGATCATGGTTCCTCTGACTCTGACTTGGGACTCTCCCACCTCTATTACTCTGTGAGACATGTCCTTGATATAAATGTTTCCTTTTATATACAGCTATAAGTTACATTGGTTTGCTTCTCTAGTGAATCCTATCTAAGATTTTGGTAATAAGAGTGGGTCTAAAGAAGCAGTATCATAAAAATAAGTTTTCTAAATTGATTCTACTTGGTATTGCAAGATAATGCACTCGATCACAAAGTAGGTTTGAATCACAAGCTTGGTGGTTCAAACTCATTAGCTACTCCTTGGAAATACTATACAGGGTTGCTATGAGTTGGAACTAATTTGACAACAACAACAACAAATTTATTCTCAAGTCTAACTTTAAAGGCACTAATAATTTTGAATCCATTTCTGATGTGGCACTGTGGGTTAAGGTGCCAAACTGCAAAGCTGTTTGAACTGCAAAGTAGGCAGTTCAAGCTCACCAGTCGCTCCTTGGAAATCCTATACAGGTTTGCTATGGATAGGAACTGACTCAACTGCACTTAACAACAACAACAACTAGTAAAAGTATGAGGGTGCTGCCAATCTGTGGCATGAAGCAGCATTCTTTTTTTGAGGCGTGAACATATTAACTGTATTCTATAAGCAGTGGGATTTCCATGCAGGTATTTTAAGAAACATTTTTTTCTCTTTATAAACTTTTAAAATATGTGCATTACAGAGAACTGAAAAGCAAAAAGCAAAAGAACACAAAAGAAATCCAAAATCAATTTGATGATTTGATGACAAGTGTGACATCCTATGTGTGCATGCATATAACTGAGCACACAGTTTTAGGTGGTTGAGGTCACACAGTAGGAATTCATGATTTTTTTTTCACACATCATGAATATTTGCCAATTCAAAGTTCCAAAGCCATGAGTATTTTGACAACCAAGAATACACGACACTGACTCCATCAGGAAGGGGAAAAAAATCCTGACTTTCTTTGCAGAGAAAAGTTTCATAAATGATAAAAATAATAATAGCCCTCTAGATAGGATACTGATGAGAGTTACAAAATATTGCATTCCCTCAATTCTCAATTTAAAATGAATCAGAGAGCAAGAGTACAGTAAATACAATGCTTCCAGGAGAATTCATTATCAGAATTATAACTACTGTAACTACTAATGTATTACCAAGATGTTTCCATTGTATTTAGTCATGTATTCCTATAGTTCAGACAAGATATGCTCACATACACCAATGGTTATCATCAAAATGCAAATATGGACACATCCCCCATCACTTGTCTGCCAGTTTTTTGTACTGTGGTGGCTTGTGAGTTGCTGTGATTCTGGAAGCTACACCACCAGTATTTTAAATACCAGCAGGGTCAACCATGGTGGACCACTTTCAGATGAGCTTCCAGACAAAGACAGACTAGGAAGAAGGAGATGAACTACTTCCGAATATTCAGTCATTGAAAACCTTATGAATAACAGAGAAACACTGTCACATATAGTGCCGGAAAAATGAGTCCCTCAGGTTGGAAGGCACTCAAAATGCAACTGGGGAAGAGCTATCTCCTCAAAGTAGAGTTGAGCATGATGACGCAAATAGAGTAAAGCTTGGGACCTTTGTTTGCTCATGGAGGACAAATCAAAATGAAGAGAATCAGCTGTAAATTTACATCCATAAATAATCAGAACATGGAATGTATGAAGTATGAATCTAGGAAAATTGAAAATTGTCAAAAATAAAATGGAACACATAAACATAGCTATCTTAGGCATTGGTGAGCTGAAATGGACTGGTATTGGCCATTTTGAATCTGACAACTATGCTGGGAATGACAAATTGAAGAGGAATCGTGTTGCATTCACCGTCAAAACGGACATATCAAGATCTGTTATGAGGTACAACGCTGTCTGTGATAGGATAATATCCATGCACCTACAGGGAAAATCAGTTAATACCACTACTAATCAAATTTACGCACCAACCACTAAAGCCAGTGAGGAGGAAATAGAAGAATTCTACCAACTTCTTCAATCTGAAATTGATCAAACATACAATCAAGATGTATTGATCATTAGTGGTGATTAGAATGCAAAGGTTGGAAACAAAGAGGATCAGTAATTGGAAAAGATGGCCTGGGTGATAGAAATGATACTGGAGAACGTATGATAGAATTCTGCAAAACCGATGATTTGTTCATTTCAAGTTCCTTCTTTATTTAAGCAGCATAAGAGGCGACTATACACAAGGACCTCACCAGATGGAATACACAGAAATTGAATTGACTACATCTGTGGAAAGAGACGATGAAAAGGTTCCATATCTTCAGCCAAAATAAGGCCAGGAGCAGATTGTGGAACAGATGATCAGTTGGCCATATGCAAATTCACACTGAAGATGAAGAGAATGTAAACAAGTCCAAGAGAGCCAAAATATAACCTGGCATGTATCCTACCTGAATTTAGAGATCATCTGAAGAATAGATTTAATATACTAATCACTAAAGACTGAAGACCAGAAGAGTTGTGGGGATGACAACAAAAACATCATACAGGAAGAAAGCAAAAAGTCATTAAGAAAACAAGAAAGAAGGAAAAGATCAAAATGGATGTCAGAAGAGACACTGAAACTTGTTTTCCAGTGTAGAAATGCTAAAACAAATGGAAGAAATGAGGGAGTACAAGTGCTCAACAGAAAATTTCAGAGGTCAGCTTGAGAAGACCAAGTCAAATATTACAACGAATTGTGCAAAGATCTGGAGTCAGAAAACCAAAAGGGAAAACCACGCTCAGCAATTCTTAAGCTGGGGGAACTGAAGAAAATATCTAAGCCTTGACTTTTGTTATTTAATAATTCTCTGGGCAAATTATTGAATGATGCAGAAAACATCAAAAGAAGATGGAAGGAATATACAGAGTCACTGTACCAAAAGGAAATGGTTGATGTTCAACCATTTTAAGAGGTAGCATATGACCAAGAACCAATGATACTGAAGGAAGAAGTCCAAGATGCATTAAAGAAATTGGCAAAGAACAAGGCACCAGGAATTGATGGGATGAAAAATGAAATCTTTCAAAAAAGTGAGGCGACACTGGAGGCACTCTTTCATCTATGGCAAGAAATTTAGAAGACAACTATCTGGCCAAATGATTGGAAGAGATCTGTATTTTTATATGTTGTTTATATGTTGTTGTTGTTGTTGAGTGCCATTGAGTCGGTTCTGACCCATAGCAACCCTGTATAGGATTTCTGAGGAGCAGCTGGTGAGTTTCCAAGGAGCAAATTTTGAGTTTTGGTGTTGGAGGAGAATATTGAAAGTGCCGTGGGCTGCCAAAAGAACCAATAGATCTGTTTTGGAAGAAGAGCAGCCAGAGTGCTCCTTGGAGGCCAGAATGGCCAAACTTTGTCTCTCACACTTCAGACATATTATCAGGAGGGAAGAGTCACTGGATAAGAATATCATGTTTGGTAAGGGTGGAGGGTCAGAGAAAAAGAGGAAGACTCCCAATGAGATGGATTGGCCAAGTGGCAGCATCAATGGACTGAAGCGTGGCAACAATAGTGAGGTTGGCCCAGAATTGGGCAGTGTTTCATTATGCTATGCACAAGGTCACTATGGCACTATGGGTCGGTACTGACTCGATGGCACCTAACAACAACAACAACAATATATATATATATATATATACACACACACACACACACAAATATAGGACTCCTTGTATGGTACTGTAACGTAAGTACTTGACTGTGAACCACAAGGTCAGTGGTTCAAACACACCAACTGCTCTTTGGAAACCATGTACAGGGATGATAGGAGTTTGTACTGACTCGGCACTTAACGACAACATGAACAAAATATGGCAGAATATAACCAGAACTCTATCTGGGCCATGCTTTTCTTTGTCAGACTTTTAAATTTCAAGCTTAATTCAACTGAGTTAAGAGAAGAAACTTTGTATGATTTCAATCCTTTAAATTTATCATCTTAAATTCTACAGTCTCAAGGTTTTAATCTCAGTTTATAGGCAAATTTGGGGACTCACTCCTATTTGAATCCTTTCTTTTTTGACAATACCTTTACATTCCAACTTTCTTGGCAATTACCACCTTTATCCTCTTACTCTGAGGCAGAAGGTCTTAGTTTTATGCTGGTTTTTTGGCTGACTTCACTGTGCAGACTGGGGAACACCCTTGAACAAAGATCCATAGAACTGCAAATATTACATGTTGTGATTTCATTCTGCAGGATAAAATATTTATTGTAAGAGTATAGTTTACTTTTATTTCAAGAATATTTTCTTATGCCTGAGTCTAAATTTACTGATCCCAAAATTAATCCTGCCACCGTTTTCTTCTCTCTCACCCAAAATTGCTAATTGACTTTTCTTTCCTGTTCCAAAGCAGACAATAGCAAAATAATTTGTGATTTAATGAAAAAGATTTGGGGCTTCTTTAATATCAATTTCTAGATGCCTTAGGGCTAAAAGTAAAGAGCCAAATCTTCAGGAAAGTTACCTTTTAAACGTTCGCTCCCCATCCACTATGTATTACATCACTAAGGAAACCTGTATTCTTTAAAAATTGTATAAATCTCTGGGAATTCTCCATTCACCGGAATTAGGTCCCTCTTGCAAGAGAAATATTGTCTCAATTTGAATATTATTTGTTAAATCATACAAATATTGTGTTGTGTTTTTTAATTAATCGATTATTTTCTTTTTTAGCACAATAATTGATTTCACTAAATTTTGGTCTGCTCTATTTTAAATTTAAATTTCATATAGAGTTTAAATGGTTATCACAAGGAATGTTAGTCAATGAAAACAATGTTTTTATTCAACACAATTCAAAACAATGTTTCCATTCCCTGCACATTTTATGTAGTAACATATGATGATGTCAGAGTGTGGTAGAGGTAGAACAGAGACAGGATAATCTACCTCTGCTTCTGAGTATAGGTGGCAGATTGCACCCTAAGGTAGAGGCAGATCACCTGCAGAGAATGCAGTTGGATAAGCTTGGTGCTTAGTAAGACAGGTTCTGTGTCCATTTCTGCCTTTAGTCTCCTGGGATGCATACAAGGATTTCTTCATTGGAAAGTAATCACTTGGTTTAAGTTCAGGTACAAAGAAGAAAGGGAACAGATGCCCTGAGTAAGAGGCAGAGGGAACTGAGACAGCTGACATCACACCTCATGTCTTCCCTGAACAACAGTGATCATAAGACCTGGCTTTGGGTCTCTCAGTGGGTCTGAGGGTCACCACTACCCCTGGTGGCTGCTCTGTTAAATGTCTGTCTCATACTATGACTTGCCCCCTTTTCTTATCCAGGCTACTGAGCAGTGGGATCTGGAGAGCTTGTCATTAGCAGGGATGGTGACCAGAACCTGGTAACAAGTAGAAGCAAATTTCTGCCACAGGTGAGCCATGATACTTTTCAAGATTTTCTGATCATAGGGGCTAATGATGACGGTGAATAGAAAGTGGACAGGGTTTCCTTTAGGGAAAATGAAAGAGCTAAAAAATAGGTGGTTGTTGTTGTTGTTGTTAAGTGCCATTGAGTCGGTTCCGACCCATAGCGACCCTGTACAGGGTTTCCGAGGGTGTAAATCCTTACGGGAGTAG